ATTATCTCTGTTTGTTATACTGTTGGTATTTATTATTATTATTATTATTATTATTTATTTTTTCACCGAGTATACTTTGCAGCGATGTTTGTTGCAGCAAAGTTCCACTGTACGAATGTTTTTTATGCATGGTAGTTGCCCAACAATACATTGCAAATGTTTAATTTCCATAAAAAATTCACATTTTTTTAGAAGTGGTATACAAATTATTTATTGACAAACGATTACGGAAGGTAAACATGAAAAATAGAAAGATGCAAATGATAAGAAATATTGATTCTTCCCTATTGTTTAAAATTATACGCTACTCTATGCTACACTACGCTATATTTTTTTTTCAAATCAAATCACTTTTATTCAATCAAACAAAACAAAAAGCATGAATGATTCGGAGACCAAAAAAAGAAAATTAATTCTTGTGGGCTCGGCCACCGTGCAGCTCAAAATAGCTTCTCAATGATAAAATAAAATTGTCAATAGGAGAAAATGTATCAATGTTAATGAAATATGTACACACTTATAAACATATATATACATATAAATTATTATTCTTTAAAAACAGAACTTTTTGTAATTAAAAAATTTTTCAGTTTATTTTTAAAAAGATGCAAAGTGTTACAATCTTTAATTTCTTGTGGAATCGTCTCCCATATTCCTGGGCCGGTGTGTTTCAAACTCATGCAGAGTACTTTAATTCTGGCTGGTGGAGCATAGAAAAGTGGCGTGTGGCGTGTAGTTCTTGCTTGAATAGAAGTTCCAAAAGTGAAAAAGTCTCTAAAAAATGCCGGCAATTGCTGACGTAGAAATCTAAAAATGAATGTTGCAACGTGGTAGATGAACAAGTTTTTGATGTTGAGTATTTTCATCTCGAGATAATGTTCACTTGTGTGACAATGAAGATGAAGATTTTTAAATATTCTGATGAATCGGTTTTGGCATTTTGTTAACTGTTTCAGATGAATGTCAGGACTGTTTCCCCAAATTACGTTGCAGTAGATGAGGTGAGGAAAGATTAACGAATAATACAGGTCAATTAGAGTAGGTTTATTTAATTTATTTTTGATTTTGCTTATAACTCCTAGGGTTTTGCATATTCTTTTAGACATAGTATCTATGTGAATATCCCAAGAAAAATTGTCCTTGATTGTTACTCCAAGGAATTTTGTGCTGGTTGAGCGAGGAATAGAAATATTGTTCATTTTTATGTTTAGGTTAGGTATAATATTTGTTAAAATTTTCGGACCAAAAATAATATAATTACATTTAGAATAATTTACTATTAATTTATTTTTGATAAACCAGGTTGATATATTTTGAAGACTGTTATTGATGTATTCTACTTCTTTCAATGGGTCTTTAGTTGGGAAGAAGATGTTAGTGTCATCTGCATATAGAAGGTGATTTGCATCAATTGCATGTTGAAAATCGTTCATGAAGATTATGAATAGAAGAGGACCTAAAATTGATCCTTGTGGCACGCCTGATCTTACGTTAAGTTTTGTTGAGGAGTGACTTTTTATTGCCACATACTGGTCTCTGTTCTCTAAATAACTTTTGAACCATGCACTTACTTTTCCTCTTATTCCATGTGAATTTAATTTTTTAATCAGTATATCGTGGTTGATGACGTCAAAGGCCTTTGAGAGGTCTATGAATACACCTACAGTTAGTATCTTTTCGTTAAGATTATTCATAACATTTTGTGCTAATTGCAGCACAGCTTGCTCAGTTGAATGCTGTGCTCTGTAGCCATATTGATTATCATTTAATAATTTATTTATGGACAGAAATGAGGTGACTCTGACAAAAATTATTTTTTCTAGTACTTTGGAAAGTGGAGAAAGTAGAGATATTGGTCGATAATTACTTGTCTCTAATTTGCTCCCCTTTTTGTGAATTGGAACTGCTCTGGATGTTTTGAAGCATTGTGGAAATATTCCTTGGACGATGGAAAGATTGTAAATATGAGTGATTGGGATGACAATTTCTGGGATGATGTTTTGAACAATGTACATTACTTCTTCTTTATTGGTGGAGTTCATATACATTGATTTACAGATTGCACTATTTATTTTTAATTTATCTTCAGTAACTATTTGATTTTCTAACAGCTTCTCTGTGACATTGATGAAGTATTCATTGAAAAGAATACTTATTTCCTCTGGCTCTTCGATGATTTTGTCGTCAACTTTTAGCTTATTAATTTCATGAATGTTTTGTTTTCTATTCATTATACCGTTTATTATTTCCCATTTTTGTTTGGAGCAACTCTGCCTCTTCAAATTTCTGTTGAAAATAATTTTTTCTGCCTTTCTCTTTACTGATGTAAAGTAATTTCTAAACAAAATGAAAATAGTAAATTTTGGAAGTCTTTAGAATCATTTGAATCATTGTCCAATAAATTAACATTAAAGTCGCCCACTATAACAGTTTTGTCGGCGGGTTTGATGGCGTGTAAAATCAAATTGATTTTATTTAAAAAAGGCTCAAATTTATAATTGGGTGGGCGGTATATCGCGATAACTTTTAGCACACCCCTAGATGAAGCATGCCCCGATTCAATGTCCACACAGAGAACGTCGACATTTTCATCATCAAATGCACTGTTATCATTTACAACATATTTGATGTCATGCTTTATGAACACACCAACACCTCCGCCTCGTTTGCTTTTTCTATTTTTATATACAAAATTGTAATTATTTAACTTAATTAAATCAACTGTTTCATTGTTCAACCACGTTTCTGATATTACTATAATTTTGAAAAAGTCGTCGAATTGTTTTAAGAAGATTTCTAGATTTAATAATTTATGAAACAAACTTTGAGCATTCAGATGAATGATTGATAGGTGATTGTTTTTCATTTTATTCTTCAATTTTATTATGTTAGATAATTCTTTTACAGTGTAATATTTTGATTCTTCGAGATTCTCTTCTATGAAGTTTTTATTCATTGCTATTTTTAGTTGAAACAACATTTGCCGACAGGTCATTGACAACATTTGCCGACAGATCATTGAAACACCATTCGCGGACGATGATTTGGTCTGGCCAGTTTTCTGCATTCATGAACTCAGCTGAGTCTGTTTCATAAATACAAACTCTGAATTCAGCGCTTGTCTGTTGAATATCGATTTTGTCAGAGTTCGTGTTTTGTGTGTTGATCGATGTTGTAGCTTGCTTTGAGCGGCGATTAAAAATTGAGTTTTTGATTGCTGAGCAACCAAGCACCTCAATTTTCAATTCATTTATGTGTTCGCTTAACTCTTTTGCAGTGCATTGTTGGTCCAATCGACCAACGTAAAAAACTTTTCTTTTTGGCGAAGGTTTCATCGCTTTCAAATTTGTTTGTTTATCAGTTTGGGTGCCTATAACTGTTTTCATATTTGCTATGTTAGTGTTGTGTGTTTTTTTCTTTGTTTTCAACATGTTGATGTTCGCCACGTGTTGACATTCGCCACGTGTTGAACATTTGAGCTCTTTTTAATTTTACGTTTTACAATCTCTGACCAGTCAGATTGCTTGCTCGATTCGGTCTTGCAATCAGATTGCTGCTTTCTTTCTACTTTTGGGCTATTGTTAATAGCCGCATTATTTACTATTTCTCGGAAGATGTTTCTTTCTTCAATGAATAGTTCTTTTAATTTTTTTAACTTTTCGTCAAGAATTGACTCAAATTTAGCTTTTTTTGAGCTTGGAATTTTAAAAAGGTTGAGAGCAGCATACTGAGGCAATTTGCTCTCAATTTTGTTGCTCAGAATAGTTTTTATTGTTAGTATTAAATAACTAACCTTGTCCCTTTTAGAATTTCAAGAACTGTTTGGCTTTATTTTATCATCTTTTTCTAGATTTAATGCATCTAGATCGCTGGTAAGTATTTTTTTTGCTATTCTAATATCTTCACAATTATAGAAATCCATTATTTCGTAAATGAATTCCGCATCGTCAATTTTGTCAGAATTATTAAATAAATAACACAATAACTCGTTAATGCAAACCACTTGCGACATCGTACACATATGTATGTATATATATATATATATATATATATGTGTGTGTGTGTGTGTGTGTGTGTGTGTGTGTGTGTGTGTGTGTGTGTGTGTGTGTGTGTGTGTGTGTGTGTGTGTATGCGCGCTTGTGCAAAAAATTAAAAGAATTAAAAAAAAGAATTAGAAAATGCGTTTTAAGTAAATTTATTGTAGAAGAAAATTAAAAAAATTAACTGTGCTTTCAAATAAAATCTTATCAAAATTGATCGGTTGAATATGAGATAAAATGACCAAATTTATTCTCCAACACTCCAAACGCTGCTGGAACAATTTTTCCATGCACCAATATGCTTGATTGACGATCGATGGCCTCTAAACTTTATTACAACTGGAATAAAGCGGATGTGATCAAACCCAAAGCCAAAAACTCTTGTATCGTTGTAACGAGAAAATTGTGTTGTAACATGAGATTAGAAACAAATTAGATTCTGCCGTGATTAACGTTGTATTGTTGAGTTTTCAAATTATTCCGATGTAACCAGAATTTATTTTAGAACATGGGAAAAAAGTAAAAAGAATATTAAAAATTACACAATTACACTTTTTCGATAATTTTCTGTTGTTCCAAACTGGTAATCTCTCATGCTCTTGATATTAAATTTTCTAACATTGGTATTTGTATTCATTTGTATATTATTGTATATATTTGTATGCTTGAAAAAAGATTTAAGTGAGTAGAAAAAACAAAGGGTTGTCGAAGTCATCACTCTTTTATTACAGACAAAAATAATCAACTTTTGACGAAACGTTTGTCTTCAGAATCATTCGAAATAAAAATGAAAGGAAAGGCAACAATGATGATTACGAACCAGGTCGATTTGTAGCCCTGGTGTATGACAAGAAGTGATATTTAGGAAACATAATAGAAAGAGATGATAAAAATGATGATTTAAAAGTGAAATGTATGAAAAAACTTGAAGACAATTTTGAGATAAAAATTTTCGAGTAGCTAATTACAATTATAATTACAAAATGAGTAACTCAACATTTGAATGAAATTTTTTAAACTCGTCATTTTCTTTAAGAAACAATTTTTAAATTCTATTTGCTCAACTATTAAAAACTGTTAGTCATTGAATATTCAGAACAAAAGTTTGGATTTCTTGGGTAAAAATCTAATATGAAAAATGACGAATTTGTAATAAAAAATATTAATTTAAAGATTAAGAATAATATCTTCCATCATAATTTTTAATAAAATTGAAAATGCCATTGGTTTAAAACGAAATTTATTATAAAATAAAATAAAATTCAGTTATCTCGGTGCTTTTTTTCAAAAAAATCCATGTTTGCCATACTCAAAAATGTAACCCAGACGTCTTATGTATTCTGATTATGTTAAAGTCAATACAACAGAAGAGAGAACCATTTGTGAGATACATAATTTTAATGTAAAATATTTATATCTTTGCTTATTATCGCCATTAATTAATTTAATTGGAGAGCTGCTGTTCACATACAAACAAACAGACAATAGACAAACAAAATTTTTAAATTCTAAACTTTTGTGATATGCATTTCAAGTTGCCACACCACATTCATCTGCTCGAATTTGAGACAACAGAATGTCAAAAAAATGTAGAATTTTTCTGAAATTATTGTACATAAATGTTTGACTCTGGTGATGTTTTGACTTTGAATGCGCATAAGATTCATCGCAATATATCTTTCATTTAGTAGTAACAGCCGTAAAATTTGTAATATCCAAATTATTTTATTTAATTTATTGTCGAACTTTCTTGATGTTTTTGTATTTTTTTACTTTTCATTTCAAAATTAGATTTTTTTATCAACCATTCATAATTTACAGGGAGGCTTGAAATAGCATTTAATGCTCTGTGCAACCCTTTTTTAAATGTCTTATTTGAAAAAAAATGTTTTATAATCTTTCTCAAATTCTAATGTTTGAAAATTCACTTTATTTTCATGAACTGGACAGGCTGTGGTCAAGAATAGCTGACGTAAAGCAAAAAAATCGCATGGACCTTAATGCGTTAGTTTCTAATGGCCTTGCGTTATCAAAACAAAGCAAAAAGTTTAATCAATGGACGTGCTGGCACAGGTATTGTTTGGAACAGTTAGTAATGGTTCAATATGCTAATTTTGTCAGTTTCAGGCTTGGCAAAGAGAATTATAACATTTATAAGAAAATTGTTAGGATTAGGCTGTTAAATGCCAGGTCTATTAATAATAAAGTAGATGATGTCTACGGAATGATTTATGCGGGTCTCGACATAATGGTTCTGTGTGAAACATGGCATGGATCTGAAGGTAATATTTTGGTTAACTTAGCATTGACACCTGGTTTCGCATTTGTGGATTGCGTCAGACCACACGATCCTTGTCATGGGAGATTGGTGATCTACTTTCAAAGAGATTATAAAAATAACAAATAAATCCCTTTTTATTTTTCAAGGTTGAAGCTGTGGCCATTAAATTGAAGATTGGGATTGATCAGTTCTGTTTAATTACCCTCTATAGACCTAGTTGAGAACAAATGACTTCAGTAATCTTTGAAGAGTTGATTTTTATGTTGAAATTTATTACAATGTTGGAGGCTCAAGTTGTACTTATGGGTGATTTTAACATTCACGTTGAGAAGAGAGATAGTTCTATTACTCTACCAGTACATGAAATATTTGATATGTTCCAACAAACACATGTGTCTGGAAGTACGTTAGATCTAGTGATTTGTTCACACAATTTTCAATAAATTTGGTGAAATCATTAGATATGGAGCAACAGGAAAAGGTTCTACCAACTGACAAAGGTAGACTCAAAGAACTTACAAAAAATCTACTGGATGAACTCAATTTGTATCAAGAAGACCGTCTAAAAGCCGAGGCGTTGATTGCTGATTTTACAGAATACGTGGATAATCTTTGACAGCGTTTAAACCGTATCCACCCGTTACGTACGCCTTAAAATTATGAAAAACACGGAAGCGGCCAAAACCAGAAACGACTTGAAAGGAAGCAGTGGCGGTTTTGCTGTCGACGAGTTAGTTTGGCTGTACAACCCACAGCGAAAGAAAGGACGTTCTCCAAAGCTCCAGCGAGGGTGGAAAGGACCTTATCAAGTCATCACCCGCTTGAATGACGTCGTCTACAGTATTCAGGAATATCGGAAGCCGAGAGCAAGAATGAAGATCGTTCATTTGGATAGACTGGCTCCGTACCATGCGGACACCGGGACGAACAGAACTAAGAAGGGGGTAATGTTATAACCGTGCTACCGAACGCACTAGATTCTAGAATGTTCTAGTGACTGGAGCATTCTAGAGTATGCTAGAATCGGACCATCTAGAAGAATCTAGAAACGACGCTTGCGAAGAGTATATAAGCGCACGTCGCAAGAAGATTAGGATTAGTGAAATCCGTGATTAGTGAAATCCGTGATTAGTGAAATCCGTGATTAGTGAAATCCGTGATTAGTGAAATTCGTGATTTTGTGAATAGCGATTCGGTGAATTATTTAAGCGATATTTGATTTGTTTGTTGACGTTGTCATAGCGATAGATTTTGAACAATTTAAAAGTTAATTGTTGCGTTAGTTTGAATTTGCTGGAAATAAACGATTAGTTGATTTCTTCTGTAAATAAAGTTTAATAACAAATAACTGTTTGGAGTATTTTATTCAATCGAAGATTTGAACCCGTCGCATCGTAAATCGGTTACGACAGCGAGTATTATAACAATATCAAAAAGCCATCTCGTTATGATCCGTTTCGTTATGTGAAGTACTTGAACCAAAGAGCTACAAAGATGCCATTCAAAGTAATGAAAAAGATGAATGGTTTAAAGCCATGAGCAATGAAATGCATTCATTAAAGGAAAATCAAACGTGGGATTTGGTAAGTCTTCCAAAAGGTCATAAGGCAATACCATGCAAATGGGTCTACATGGTAAAACACAATCTAGATGGTTCTGTTGAACGTTTTAAAGCCAGGCTAGTGGTAAAAGATTTTTCTCAGAAAAAGGGAATTGACTATGAAGAAACCTATAGTCCTGTGGTCAGAAGTTCAACTATAAGAACACTATTAAGTGTTGCTGCAAATGAAAAGATGTCACTCATGCAGTTTGATGTGTCAACAGCATTTCTATACAGCAAACTAGATGAAGATATTTACATGGAGCAACCTGAAGGTTTTAAAGATAATTCAGGAAGAGTCTGTAAACTCAAGCAAAGTCTCTATGGACTTAAACAAGCTCCAAGATGTTGGAACAAACGCTTTGCTGAATTCTTGAAAAAGAGACATTTCAAACAAAGCGATGCAGATACTTGTTTGTTCATTAGAATACAGGGAGGAAAAAAACTCATACTTGCACTGTATGTTGATGATGGACTAGTTGCAGGAACCGATAAAGAAGAACTAAAAATATTTGAAAAAGAATTAAAGTCAGAGTTCAAGATAACATCTAACCCTGCAACATATTTCCTTGGATTAGAGATTAATCAAGATGAGAAGGGAAATATTAATGTCAGTCAGTCATCCTATACAAGAATGATTCTTGAAAAGTTTGGGATGAGTCAGTGTAAATCCTGTACAACTCCGATTTCAAAATCTGAGGAGTTCAATGAAAACAAAAACGAACATGAGGAAGTGAAATTTCCTTACAGATCAGCAGTTGGTGCATTGATGTACTTGGTGACGGGAACAAGACCAGATATTGCATATGCAGTTGGAGTAGCATCAAGAAGTTTGGAGAAACCCAGCAAGTCCAATGTAGCACAAGTCAAGCAAATTTTCAGATATTTGCAAGGCACAGCTGATGTCGGTATTGTTTACAAGTCTGGTCAAAACAATACACTTATAGCCTACAGTGATGCAGATCATGGAGGAGATAAATCTAGTGGAAGATCGACATCAGGTGTAATCTGTATGTTTGGAGGAAACGTAATCAGTTGGTTTAGCCAACGTCAACCTTCAGTTGCGATTTCAACTACTGAAGCAGAAATCGTTGCCGCAAGTGAAGCAGCTCGTGAAGTGATATGGCTCAAACGATTGTTGAACGACATTGTAGATCTAAAGAAAAAGCCAGAAATTTTTGTCGACAATGAAGCAGCAATTCGTTTAGCACACAATCCAGAACTTCACAGAAGAACAAAGCACATCCACATTAGACATTTCTTTGTCAGAGAAAAAGTTGCAGAAGAAGAAGTTTTAGTTGAACGAGTTGCGACAGAACTTCAAGTTGCTGATGCTCTGACAAAACCAATGGTGGACCAAGACTAAAGAATCTGATGTTTGCGATGGGTCTTCAGAACATTTAGGTTAAGGTCATCTAATGTTTTAAATAAAATGAGAAGGTGTTAAGTTTTATGTTTTATATTAAAACATTATGATTTATAATATACATTTGGACCAAATGTTCTTTGCTTTGTATGTAACTTCACTTTTTCCTTTTCGGTTGATCCGGTGGATAATAAACAAGTCGAGAACGTTGCTTGGTTTATTTCTCTTCTTTTAATGTCTTTCAATATTATATCAATTAATTAAACGATCTACGTAACAAGAAATTTAACAGTATGCTGCATACACACAAACATACATGCAAACGTACATACAAACATACATACAAACATGCAAACGTAAATACAAACATACATACATTCGCAATAATATATACTTGTTTTCTATGTGACGATAATATAAACCAAATCTAATAGTAACAATAATACTGTTGCACATTGAGTCGAACTACAATAACATATAGTGATCGTCACGGCTTCAGATTCAAATGTCAACATCTTAATAGTTCGTTAAACATATTTAAATCTTTGGCATCAATTGCGAGGAGGTGGTTATGAAATCTTTCAGATATGATGATTCCAATATAAACTGACGCCTTTTTATTGCACATGCTCCACAGCTAGAAGGAAATTATCTTTGAAATTAAAAATACATTAAAATCACTACTGTATATATATATATATATATATATATATATATATATATATATCTCAAGATATAATAATTAAAACAGAAGCTTTGAATGGATACGAGGAAACGAATCTTACAACAAAAAATTATATCAAGTCGAATGCCTTAACACTTAAATAACCTGGATAATATTTAAGAGACAATCATGTTGCGAGGAACCTGTATCGTTGTATCACAATTCTGAAGGGGCCCTCCACATGTTTTTTTCACGTTCAACCCGATAACAGCCACGCACGCACGAATCTCTCTGCAGCTGAAATGTTGCTGTGCTGATTGCTGAAAGACAACATCATTAACATAATATTTACTTCAGCCAAATAGGTTACACACCAATATACATCATTTACGTGTGTGTGTGTGTGTGGTGTGTGTGTGTGTCTGTGTGTGTGTGTGTGTGTGTGTGTGTATGTGTGCTTAACTTACCAGCTGTCATACGAACGAACACAAACAGGTCTGTCAAAGTTCTGATGTGTTCAACTTTTAAAAACATATCGCCGTGTTGTGGTGTTTTCATCTTTCAATATGAATCATCTGTTGTGATCGACAAAGAGTTTGACTAAAATTATAGAGTTTAAAATTTAAATATTAATTTGATTTCGTTGTACCACAATTTTCGCCACCAAATTGTCGTTAAATGTAAGTTGTTAGTTATACACTCATTTGAAGATGTACATAAGTCTGCATGTATGTATGTATGTTCATATGTTTGTTTATTTGTATGTATGTATGCATGTATGTATGAGTGTATGTATGTATGTATGTATGTATGTATGTGTGTGTGTGTGTGTGTGTATGTATGTATGTATGTATGTATGTATGTATGTATGTATGTATGTATGTGTGTGTGTATGTATGTATGTATGTATGTATTATTATTATTATTATTATTATTACGGAAATTTATATACAGCGCTTTTTTATTGTTGAATCTCAAAAGCGCTACTAAATCATAGACAAATAAGACGGACATTCATTGTGCAAATAAATAAGTTTTAAGTTGACTTCAAAATTGTAAATATGATAGGTTAGGGTCACGTAAGTATGGAGGTAAACCATTCCAAACAATCGGGTCAAGAACCGCAAAGTTGCGGGAACCCGTCACCAACTTTGTGGTCGGGATAAAAAATAAATTGCGCTCGGTTGATCGGAAGGAATATTTTGAAAAATGAGATTTGTATGATTCCAATCTATCGATGAGGTAGGGAGGTGCTGTATTATTGACACATTTAAACATCAAAACTGCCAACTTGAAGGAAACACGTTTTTCAACCCTCAACCAGTGCAACCTGTTCAAAATAGGCGTAACATGATCGAACCACGAACCACCCAAAACTAGCTTAACCGCACGATTCTGTATTGACTGAAGCTTTGAAAAAGACCTTTTGGTGACACCATAAAAAAGGCCATTGCAGTAGTCCAGTCTGGAAAAGACGAAAGAGGAAACCAAGCTTTGAAGAACAGACGTGTTTAGTGATTTTTTGACATTGCGTAATAAACGGAGTTGGTTGGAGCAGACCCTCACTAAATTATAAATATGTAAATCCATCTTTAAGTTTGAGTCAATAATAACTCCAAGACTACGGACAGATGTAGAAAATTCAATGATGTCATTGCCGACACTGATCGATGAAATGTTGACCTTCGACAGCTGCTGCCAAGAACCAACCGGTAATATTTGTGTTTTAGATTGATTTAACTTTAACTGATTCATACTCATCCAAGATCCAATTTCGATGAGACAGTCAGTCAGTTCATTCAGAGAAGCATCAATCGAATCAACAGGACAAGAAACCAATAACTGAATATCATCAGCAAAGGCGTGGGAGCTGAGCTCATATTTTTGAATGATATCAAAAACATCAGCAGTGTACATAAGAAACAACAGAGGTCCCAACACAGATCCCTGGGGGACACCAAACGATAGTTTGTTTATGTCAGAGAGGGTGTTGTTGTAAGAAACCTGCTGGGTGCGGCCTAAAAGATAGGAAGCGAACCACGATAAGACTGAATCAGAGAGAAAAAAATTTGTGGAGAGTTTATATATGAGACGAGTATGATCGACACAATCAAATGCAGCACTCATATCAAGTAATGCTAAAAAAGAAACGCATTGACTGTCAACTGAAGAGAACAACTGGGAGAAAATATCAATGAGTGCAGTTTCTGTAGAAAAATATTGACGATAGCCGGATTGATTCTTTGGCAACAAATTGTTTTTGTTTAAATGCTGTAACAATTGTTTGATAACAACTCGTTCAATGACTTTAGAAATGAATGAAAGATTAGAGATAGGACGGTAATTTGATAAAACGTTGTCGTCCAAATTTGATTTTTTTAGAAGTGGGGTTACAATAGCATGTTTCAAAGGGTTGGGAAAACTGCTAGTTGATAAACATTGGTTGACAAAAAATGTCAAAAATGGCAAAAAAAGATCTATAAATTTTTTAAATATGTATGTTGGAATCAGATCAAGAGAACAAGAACTGCCCAGGGGAGCACAAACTATTTTACGCAATTTATCTGCCGTGCACATTTGAAATGAAAGATTAACAATTGCTTTAGGAGAGACGACCCTAGAGAAATAATCCAAACGGGATTGTTTTGTTAGTTTTTCTATAGTCGTGCTAACAATATTATTGATTTTAATCACAAAAAATGTCATAAAAACATTTGGGGGAGAAATCATTTGAATGGTAATTATTTGAATTTTTAGATAAAATTTGGTCGAGGATATCCCATAATTTTTTTGGTTGTTTTTTAAACGAATCAACTTGATTTGACCAAAATTTGTTTCTTTTTTGGGAAAATTGTTGTATTTTTTCTTTTAACGCTAAGCGCCATGCATTTCGATTAATATCATTTTTCATTTTCCTATACAATTGTTCCAGTTTTCGACAATTGCGTTTTAATGAACGATATTCAGAGTCAAACCAAGGGGCAGATAGTACATGAGTAGATTTGACATAACGACAAGGAGCAACCATATCCACAATTCTCACGATTTCAGAATTAAACAAATCCAACAGGGTATCAGCGGAAGATGAATTGAACGGCCCTGAAATAGGTGATTCGAGAACTAGTGAAGAAAATTGATTTTCGTCAATTTGATTCCATGAACGAGTAAGTTTCCATTTTTTCTGAGGTGTGGGAACAGAAATAGGGAAACAAATTTTAATTAAACTGTGGTCTGAATACACATTTGGTGGCTCAACGGAAAAAAATTGTGAGGGAAGGTCAGAACTAGAGGCAATTAAATCCAATGTTCCACCATGAACGTGGGTTGGTTCATTTATTCTATTTATCAATTGATATAAATCAAAAATTTCAAACAATTTCAATGCATTAGGGTCGTTCAAAAGTTCAACATGGATATTCACATCTCCAATAAAAATAACATAATTTGCTAAAAGCAATATTTGATCAAAAACAGATGATAACTCATCAAAAAACAATGGTGATGGAATAGAAGACCCAGGACGATAAATTGCAAAAACAACAATAGTTACTTTGTTGAAATAAAATTTCACAACTACAGCCTCAAACGTCTTAAATAAAGGCAGCGGAATTCTATAAAATTTAAAATAATTTTTAAAAAATACAATTATTCCACCATGGTTAGGGTCAGTCGGCCTCAGAAAATCTATGAACACAAAATCAGGTGGCAGAGTGAGTCTAAGTGATAAATTATCGGACGACCCATGCCAGGATTCCGTAACAACAAAAATATCAAAATTATTAGAAAATAAATCGCGAACAGTTTTGATCTTATTCTTTTTTGGTAACTTCACGATCATTACTACCACTTTTATCGTTACCATTACAACCATCATCACAATCGCAAATACCACCATCATTACCACCACCGTTAACATTACCACCACAACCATCTCCACCACTGCAAATACCACAACTACAACTATCATAATCACCACAGCTGAACAAACTTCATCACCAGCATCATCAGCAATACCTTCACCAGAAATCACTTCACCGGATGCTCTCTGAGTTTGACGATCCGCCACCTTCCCACCGTTCCCCTCACCTTGAATAAAAAACCCGGGCACGAGATTTTTCTTGATTTGGCTTCATCAATTAGTTTTTTTAACTCGGCACGCTGATCAACTGTTAAATCATGACTGATCCATACTTTATCAAGATCTTCATGCATAGTTTTTAATTTAAAGGAATTTTTTAAGACTAAATCTTTAATTGCACAACTCCTCATTTCAATCAGCACCGGTCTAATTTTAGTTTCAGCTTTTGGACCCAGTCTAACAATTCTTTTAATATCCTGATCCTTGACTTCACTGGATAACTTTTTAATAATTCTTTTGACTCTATCTTTATCATCATCAGTTTCTTGCAAATTGAACATCATTATGTTATTCTCTCTTTCTTTCATGCCATTTACATTGGTTAAAGTTTTTTAACACTTTTACCTCATCATTAACTAGTTCAATATTTTTCTTCACTTCGCATCGGACAGCATCAGCAAAACTCTTGTTCAAATCGTTTTTAAGGTTACACAGCTCAGTACTCAAAACTGTGCCATCGAATCTTTCCGCCCCAACATTTCTCTGAATTAAACTTTTGATAGCTTCAAGTTCGCTTCTCAACAAATTGTTCGATTCATCAATTTTGTCAATTCTAGTGTTGAGCGCATCATTGCTATCACGCACAGCTTTATTTAATGACTTTACATCAGGAAGTAGTTTCATGCATTCATCACAATACCACTTAATATTGGACACGGAACTGATAACCTTGAAAGCTGATTTACTTATTCCGACACAGTCTTGGTGAAAGGCAAGTTGACATTGAAAGCACTGAATTGCGTCTTTATCTTCCATATTTCTAGCACATTGACATCCTTTGATCGACATAATTGTTTCAAAAAGAATGTCTGCAAGTCAACTTATAAAATTATATTTCAAATGTCTTTAGAAAGTTAGCAGTCCGCAAGAATAAACACACAAGAAAAAAACAAAAAATAAAAAACAGCAAAACACTTCAACTTTCAAAACAGTGCAACTTCTATAAACTATCCTTTATTGTTTACAACTTTAACTTTATTACCGCGAATTCAAAATTTAAACCAAAAAATAGTGAAAAATAAAACAAAATTAAATTGCAAACAACCAACTGAACAAAATTTATATCCTCTTATTCTTCTAAATTTATACTATAAAACGAAATCAAAATTAAGTCGAACACTCTATAATATCCTATGAAACTTTAGAAAAATACGGAGAAAATCGAAAATACTGTTGCCGAGTCAAAAGCCAAGACAATATATGTATGTATGTATGTGTGTATGTATGTATGTATGTGTGTGAGCATGCATGCATGTACGTATGTTTGTTTGTATGTATGTGTGTGTGCGTAATCACTTAATAATCGCACATATGTTCAATTTATGAGCAGGGTTATAATCATCATTTGAAAAATAGAAGAGCAATATTTTAAACACAGACATAAACACGACCATACACGTCCATATCTTATCCAGATGAAAACAATGATGCTCTATTACAGTGTTTCTCAAAGTGGGCGATATTGCCCTCTTGTGGGTGCTGAAGTCTAACTGGGGGGGGGGGCAGTGGCAGGTTTCGACAAAATTTGAGAACTTTATAAGCTTTATGAAGTATTGACGTATTGATCATTTTTTGCTGGGATAACAAAAACCATATCTTTGAACCAGTTAAAATCTTTTTCCATGCTAACCTGGCGGACTCCCTTCAACGTTATTGTCAACTTGTAAACAAATCTCAAAATCTTCCAAACGCAAAAAAACGCATATGGCTACAAAAGCAAATCCATTTGTTGTACCCTGGATCGTCGGCAATTGTTCAACGATTTTTGCTTGCATTTCCATCCTTGCATTTTTGCGAACGTGGATTCAGTGCTGTGGCAACCTGTGAACCAAAAAAGAAATAACTTGAATATTAATAAACTTAGAGATTTAAAACTGTTTTCAGTAAATTTGTACCTGATATTAACAATCTTATAACAAAAAATCATCAAATTCACTCTACATTAAATTCGTTTCAAACTTTTTCTCTCAAAATTTATATAATTTTAAAATAAGTGTAGGCACGGAGAAATGAGAATAATATAAATTATTTTATAATAACATCAGCTTACTAAAAAACTAATTTTTATTACATTTCTTTCAAATGAAAAGTTTTAAAGCGGAGGAGCACCAGAAAAGTTATTTTCCTAAAAGTGGGCGGTGAAAGAAATAAGTTTGAGAACCACTGCTCTATTATGTATATATATATATATATATATATATATATATATATATATATATATATATATATATATATATATGTATATATATATACAATTATTTTATAAAGATCACTGCGTTTTCGGCATTATTCAATTATTCAACTTGTAGTTGAGTTTCTCAATTTTTCTAACGAATTAAATTCAATTCAATTCGTTTATTTTCTCAAAAGAGGGGTAAACTAAAAAAGCAACCAAATGCTTGTAAGAAAGTCACCCTATCCAAATAAAATCAACATTGATCAACAAAAATCAAAAATTAAAATAGTTCGACAAAAATCAAGGATTAAACTAGATCGAAATAAATCAAAAGTTATTGAACTGCAGATTCTATTCTATTAATCTTATAAAACAGAGATATAGTTCAAAATGAGTACATAAAATTAAAGTTTTGAATTTAGGATTCTATAGCATTTCAATAAATTAAATGATATGAAACCAAATATAGTTCAAAAGTAAGAGTACATACATACATACATACATACATACATACATAAATAAGTTTTACAATGTTGTTTAAAAAGACGAGGTTTTGAAATAATTGTAACAGATAGAGGCAAAATTGTAAACCAAATTTTGTGTGCATGGGTGCAAGAATAAATATGCTATCATTTAAAATTTTTAGTCTACTGAATATAGACTATTCAGTAGACTAGGTATTATATATAGAATGAAGTGACGAGTAGATTTAAAAATATGTGAAAGTTTCAGTGAAAAAATATTTGAGAAATTAGATGGTAGCAGATTATTGACAAATTTGAACATGAAAAAGGCAACAATAAAAATATGTAATTTGTATATTGTAAGAAGACCTAAAGAAGAAAAATATTCATCAACATGAGTGGTAAATTTAAATATAATAATAGTTTTATAAATTTTTTTTTGAATTCTATATAGTTTTGAGACATGAACAGCAGGGCTATTGCCCCAGATAAGATTACAATATGATAGATGAGGAAAAACAAATGCATTGTACAACAATATTAAAGTAGTTTTATTAAGTTTGTATCTTATTTTATAAAGAAGACCTAAAATTTTGCTTAATTTAGAAGAAATAGTATTAATATGTTCAGCCCAAGATAAATTATCTGAGATAATTAGACCCAAAAATTTTGTACTGTAAGACCTCTCCATTAAATGGTTATTCAAATGAAGATTTAAGGGACCAAAAGTATTGGTAAGGATCTTCGGACCAATAATCATATAATTACATTTTTGATAGTTAATTTTTAGTTTATTGGTATAAAACCAGTTAGTAATAAGTTTTAGGTTATAATTAAGTAAGTCCGAATCCTTCAGAGGTGATTTAGTTGAATAGAAAAAGCTAGCATCATCAGCATAAAGAAGAATTTTGAATATGGTTTTAATAGAGAACAAATCATTAATAAACAATATAAAAAGCAAGGGTCCAAGAATAGACCCTTGTGGGACACCTTTAGGTACCAAGATTTTATGGGAATTGACATCATTAACTCTTACATACTGGTATCTATTGAGTAAATAAGACATAAACCAAGAGTGAGATTTACCACGAAAGCCAAGCGCTTCAAGTTTACGTAATAGAAGAGTGTGATCAATGAGATCAAAAGCTTTACTGAGATCAACAAACACGCCAATTGTAAGAAGTCCATCATTCATATTAGAAAGGGTGTTATGTGCAAACTGAAGATTGGCTAATTCAGTTGATCTGCCAGATCGGAACCCAAATTGGTTTTCCGATAGGAGATGAAAAGTTGTTATAAATTTGTGCATTCGAATATACATGAGTTTTTCTGATATCTTGGACAATGGAGATAATAAAGATATGGGCCGGTAGTTGTTTACACAACGTTTGTCACCTTTTTTATATATAGGAATAACACGAGCAGTTTTAAATACAGTGGGGAAGACACCTTGTTTAAATGATAAGTTAAATATATAGTCAAGAGGTTTAGTAATATTGTAAATGCAGTTTTTAATTATATAGTTGCTGAGTTCATCATCAGATAAGGATTTTGTATTTTTCATATTACCAACCACATCTAAAATTTCAGATTCATTAACACTATAAATATAAAAAGAATTAGAGCTATTACCAGACAAGAAAGAATTATCACAAGAATTGTAATTATCATCGATAGAAAGTAAGCTTTCGATAAAGAAATTATTGAATTCATTAGAAATTGTCAAATTGTTAGTAACAACGTTATCATCAATCATTAATTGAAAAATATTATGAGAAGAGGCATTATTAAGCAACGAATTAATGAATTTCCATTTAAATTTTGAGTCATTGTTAGAAAATATATTACTATAATAATTACGCTCAGCCTTTCTTATAACACTAGTGAAACGATTGCGGTGGTATTTATATATCTTTAGATTAGAAGGTGTGGGATTCAAAATACATTATTTAAATAGTTTATTTTTTATTCTAGAGGCTTTTATGATGTCCCTGGTAATCCATCCTTTGTGCTTGTTGTTGTTAATTACCTTGATTGGAGCATATCTATCAATTATAGAGTTAAAGTGATTATAGAAAGACAGACAGGATACCTCAACGTTTTCAGATCCAAGTACATCATCCCATTTGGTCATGGATAAAATTTTATTGATAATGTCAAAAGTTTTAGTAGTGAAATGACGAGTACCTAAGATACCAGGTGGCTGAGAGGACAAATTTGTGCTATTGAAGAATGAAAATATTGGATAATGGTCCGAAAAATCAGATAAATGAATACCAGCTGTATGTGGTAAAGAACTATTACTAAAGATGTGGTCAATTAGAGTGGCTGATGTATTTGTTACTCGTGTAGGTGATTCAATCGTCGAGGAAATATTGTAAGTTGCTAGTAAATTTTTAATTGCCATACTTTGAGTAGTGCATTTAGATAGGTCAACATTGATGTCACCAACAAGGTAAATATCCGTTGTAGGTTTAAGCTTATCCAAAATACATTCCAGATGTCTTAAAAAAGCATCGAAGGAAGAAGCAGGAGGTCGATATATGGCTAAAATTGTACCCTTAAAATAGTTGCAAGTAACTTTAATACATAAACTATCTGAAAGATCATCATCAAATATCGATATTAAATTAGTTACAAAAGGAATGTCTTTTCTAATAAAAAACCTCCTCCTCCTCCTCCTACACCTCCTCCAATTCCGCCTGTTCTATTTTTACAAGCAAAATTTAAGGAATCAATATTAACTAATTTACATGTAACGTCATTTAACCAGGTTTCAGAAACAATAATGAAATGAAATATGTTAGAAAATGATTTAATCAAAATTTGTAAATCTGACAGTTTATTAGTATTAGTATTAGGTTTAAAATTA